GCGCACAGAAACACCCAGGAAGGGTTGGGGGACCAGGGGCTGATGCCATCCTCCAGGTCCCTCTCCCTGTGGGTTTCACAGTAATACTCTGTCCACTCTGTCCATGGCTTCTGGACTTGTCTCTTATACACATCTAGATGTGTATAAGAGACAGGCCCCCGCCCTCGCCCCTCTGAGACCCAGGGTGGCCGCGCCCGCTCCTCCCTAAGCTCCAGGCCCCGCTGAGGCGCTGGGATTCGCCGAGATTCGCAGCAAGCGGGTCGTCCAGCCGCAGGGCAGGAGGCTGCTGACCCTCCTCTTCTGGCGTGCAGCCTCTGGAAAGCAGTGCGCAGGCCGTGCCCCAGGGCAGCCCCTTGTCTGATCACCTCCAGCCCAGGGCTCACTGGGGCACTCTCCTGCAGGTGTTCTGCTGGTCGAGGAACTTTCCACTCTTAACCTCCTTGAACTCAACCTCCAACTTCTGGGAGGAGCTCAGCCGGCACCCCTCAGGCTGCCAGGAGGAGGGGCACCTGCAGTCCCCCCTAACAAAAGCACTGCTCCGGACTGAAGACCTTGGGCATAGGCAGGGCCTCAAGGAATTGCCCAGCACACACCCAGGCTGGTGTCTGCTTCGTGCCTGCCGAGGGACTGAGTTCCTGCCAGCCTCTGCACAGCCTGGCCAGGGAGGTGCCAACAGGACTCCTCCAAAGCCACAGACCAGACTGTTGGAGACCACTGCCCCGCCCCCACCGGCACAACAAAAGTGGGGGTGGGGCAGAAGAAAACAAGGGGTCAAGGGCACCCCACAGGGCACCACAAACTCAGTCTTAGCGAGACACTCAAACCCAGGAAGCAGAGGGGTGGCCGCTGACACAGGCTAAATTCCTCTGAGGTGCCCTCAGGCAGGGCTGCCGCGCGTGCACTTTGAAGTGTGTAGTTTACATGCATCTCAGCTGCCCTTTAATCTGTGTAAAATCAAGGGTCTTGTCCTGTGACAGTCTCCCCCAGATCAGCTCCAGGGAGACGATCTATCACTGATTTCCATCCATCACTTTCCATCTCACCCTTGGGCTGTCTCCTTCGACAGAAGAAATTCTAGGATTTCAGATGTCCAGTCTGTGAACAGAAAGAAGGGTCCATTCTGCACCCACCGCCTCTACCACAACTCCCATTGGTAGAGCTGGTTCACATTTCAAAAGAATCACCATTTTTTCAAATGTCAGATTTCTTTATTAAAATGTGTACATCATAGTTTACTTAAATACAAAATGTTCACTTTCCTTGCAGGTAAGAAATTTCACTGACATTTCCATGTCGATTTGCTTCTTTTTAATAAAAATCCTTCCATTGAAAATAAATAAGCATTTAAATTACTGAACTATTATATTCATTAGTCTCAATACCTCTTAAAATACTTAAAACTTTAGAAAATAGACTCTAAACATTGCCTAAAGGCGGCATCCAGCTCTGAGCAGGCCACACGAGGTGTGTTTGGGCATGGCATTACAACCCGAAGTCACCTCCACGATGGCCCAGCCCCACCACTGACGCTCTGCTGAAAATCCTGCCCCTCAGCAGGACGCAAGCTTGTCCCCCAAATAGTGGTGACCTCGAACTGCAATATGAGGAGGAAAGCAGCCAACACTGCCCTCCGCAAGGGTTTCTGGAAAGGCGGAAGCTGGAGACGAGACGGTAAACCACACCACCATCCCAGGTCACCCCAGGCCACCCCAGCTGAATATATTCAACACTAGCCAAGAGGCAAAAGTTTAGTTTAAAGGGTTCAAAGGCAAATACACTGAAACCCATGTGTAAACCTGCCTGGTTTTCAAACTGAAAGAGAAACACTCTGGTTTCTTCAATAACCCAGGCCTGCACTGGATGAAGCAACGAAGGCAAGGTCACGGCTGCTAAAGCACAGAGGGGTTAAAAAGTGTGAAACCATAAGCAACTCTCGAGTGAGAGACGTGAAGCAGGAGGCCGAGGCACCAGACACCTCTCCCACCAGCTGCAGGGCCCTGGGCAGCGTTCTCAGCCCAGCCATTCTGTGACAGTTGTTTAAGGAATCAGCTGTTGACTTTTTTTCTTAAGTGGCAACAATCACATCAATATTACAGGGGTCTTACGAATACATCCATGTGATCAACTCGTTAGTAAACACAGGAGTACACAACATAAAGTAGGCAAAGCGGAAAAAATACAATTGTCAAAGTCTCTCTCTCTCACACACACACACAAATACATGAGAGTCTATTTTAGCCAAATCACACACACACACACACACACACAAAAATACATGAGAGTCTATTTTAGCCAAATCAAATTTTGCCTGTGAGACACACCAACAGCCACAAAGAATCTCAATATAAATGTTCCCAGAAATAGTGTATTTGTTTGTTTTAATCTTCAGAGGCAACTGACCACTAAATGTTTTGGGTTTAAAAACAATGTTTAAAATTATGAAATGGTAAAAGAAATCACAACCAAAGCCTGGGAGATCAGTGCCTGTGTGGAGACACTTCCCAAAACAGCTTCAGGCAAAGCAGCCTGGTGCAGGCCCCTGCCACCTCTGCCCCTCCACGGGCCGAGTGAGACGCTTGAGTGTGTGGCAGACGCCTCTGGTGCTGGGTGACGAGCAGACAACACAAGGGGCTTTAGAAGTCTCCCTGGGGCCTGTGCTCCCAAGGGCAGACCGCTCTCCTCCCCACCCCCCAACAGAGGGGCCTCTGCTCAGAGCACTGCCCACTGATCCCAGAGCTGCCCTCCAGGGACCAGTGGCCAAATGGCCCCCATTTACCTCCCTCTCTCGTCACCAGATAGACAAAGGCGCTGCCTCTGAGGATTAAGTGAGCCGCCATCCTTCCAACCCCCAAGTCCACTGCCCGAGGCCTCTGGGGGTTCTTTTCTGAAATGCAGCACAGCCACAGAATTCCGTGGCTCCTCCCCTGTTGAATTCCCCACATCTGGCGTGGAACACCGAGAGCCCTCAGGAACCTGCCCTAGGGAAGCAGCCACAAGCACAGGATAGTCCCTGGAACTCTGCTCTGTCCCCGCCTGGCCAAAGGAAAACACTTGGCAGCCTGGAGCAGGGGGCAGGAGGCACAGGGGAAGCAGGGGGCACAGGGGGCACGGGGGAAG